AGAGACAGATAACACAGTAGCAAAAGGCTAATCTGAGCAGTGTGCACCACCACCCCCAACCATAATCCTAGTCATGTCCCAACTCAAGCCAAATTTCTGTAGTGGTATGCAAACGTGACTATGAGTCAATGATCTTATTCCATAGAGAGTGGACAGCCCAGGGCCTGCTGAGCTCTCCTGCATGGTAGTGGGCTGCGCGCCAGGATCTCCCTTTGAGTATGGACTCAAGGTTACTCCTCAAGGCGCACAGATTCCCTACCACAACAGATTCTTGGTAAGTGATTAATAGCATGCTTAACTTTGAAATCTTAGCTAAGTGATATAAAGGATTGATTGCACGTATATGATTCTTTAGACATAAATCCTTGTCCAAGTCTGAGACTAAGTCTGGATCCAACTGCACCTAGACACCTCTCTGAGAAGTTTATAAAGCAAAGCGGTGTTCTCTGAAACTCGTGACTCAGTGGGAGTTTTGTCTGACCCTGTCTTTTCTGCAGTAAATAAGCAAGTGTACCTTGTCATCAAATCTTGTTAAAACCACTGTTGCATTTACCATCTAACTTTATTAAATTGCTGTTTTGTACCAATAAAGATATTGCTGCTTCTCTCTTATGAATGTAGTGCATCACACCATCCTTGAAAACCATTCACTGGGCACCATCGTGAGCATATCCTAGGCACATGATACACAGGAAGCCTTAACTGTTTCTAATTCTTGTGTGCTTGACTTAGCCATATAACCCCCTCTGAATGCTGCTGCCTTACATAAGTCCTGCATCTCTTTGCTTTGGACAGCAAAAGGGGCTAAGGGACAGGAAATCCATAGCCTCCAGGTTTAGTTGTCCAGACTGACTTGCACAACACAACAGAGAATGAAGAATTCTCCTTAGTGCCAAATCAGATACCCGCAAGTACTTTGGCTCTGAGGCTTCCTTGATATTTTCCATCAATTATTATACCAAAGGCAACAACTTTTGTAAAGTTTTTATTGCTTTCCTCTCTGTCAAACTGCATTTCCAAATTCCTAGTGGGTGAGGAAGCAAAAGACAAAAATTAGGAAAAAAACTGTAATTTATAACCTCTTCCCACATTTTTTTTTCCTCCTAAGTATTCTTTCTTGATATTATCAGCTGTTGCTGTGAACAGAAGTGTTTCCTACTTTCTGAAGGCTACTGTCCAATCAAAATGAAGAAATGGTTTCACATGCATAGCAGATCTGATGCATCACTTCAGTAACTGTCAAACTCAGATTTTACCTGTGTGGCGAAAGGGACAGTGGGCCCAGAGATGCTTGCTTCCTGCAGATTTCTGGTGAGTCCCATGAATACTTCTTGGGTAGTATTTTGGAGAAATTAGAACAGAATTGACCTTATGGTCCTCCCTCCTGAGGTGAAGAAAGTCGTAATAGGAGCTCACCTGTTGCCTCACTCTAGTATGTGACAAGAGTGTGCTTTAACCATGAAGAAAGATTTACTAAGGAGCTCATGCCTCATAGATACCAGAAATGTTTCTTTTGTCCCATTCTTCTGTGCAGATTCTTTGGACTTTAAGGAGCAAGCTTTACCTCCTTTTCCTACGGTTAGCATGCTTCAAGCATCCCCCTCTGGCATCTGTTTCCCAGTTTTAGCCCTTGTTTCAGCAATATACCTGTAAGCCATGAGACACAAATCCATTGGAAATCAAGCACTGCTAGTTTTGGAATTCATGGACTGATTTGCATGAATTGTGTGTTTTAAAATTAAAGCTTGTGTCCATCTTGGTTATGATTTTTAGAATGGAAAGTCTTCTGTGTGCACCTGGGTTAGAAAGCAGCTCTAAGCCTTGCCAAAGGTATCCCACCACTCATTTCTGCTCACAATATTTTTAGATCTATATGGGTGGGGGTCATTGAGTGCCCAAAGGGGTCCCAGGGAACCTGACTCACGTTACTATGTACAAACACTGAAAGCAGAGACAATGCTGGAAATCAGTTCAGCAGCACCTACGTTTTAATGACTAAGGCCATTGAGGTGAATCAGTTCCTGACCCATTTATGCTGGCCTATGCCTCCCTCTTTTCTAGGAGCCCCCTGAGTCCCAGGTGATGATTCTTCAATTCATAAATTCATGGAAGATATTTTTAAAGCTCTGTGCTGTGGATGAGAACCAGTTCTGAAATGTTTAATAGTTCCTGAAGGGGACTATATAACACTCTCCTATAGGTTTAGATTCAGATGGTCAGCTCTTCGCCAGATGCAGCTGAATTTCATAGCATGCTCTGTCTCCACTTGCTGTGGGAGTCAATGTTTGCCCACTGCATGTATAGTGCCTTTTGCTGAAATGCCAGTAAAGAGGTAAATCGCCCTGAGCAGGTGCTTCAAATTTCAGAAGAAATAATGAAATAGAAGAGGAAGGAATCATCATTTTTCTTTTGCCCTGGTACAGGAATGTGCTTGTTCCCTTTTAGCCTTTTTCCTTTCAGGAAAGGAAAGCTAGTTTATTTGCTTAAAGAGATACAGCTTAAAAGCTGAGAAGAAAGAAGGAGTAGGTATGCTCTGATCTTCCATCAGGAATGTTGTTACACTTAGCTATTGATTTACCTGTTCTGGGATTAAAAACAAAAAATAAAAATTACATTTTGAACCACAGTGGATTTTCTGCCATATTTAAGAGCAGCTGGTTGAGACTGGGGTATTTTTTATTTGGAAAGAAACTGCTTAGCTGCCTTTTTTTCTACTTACACTGACCTCAAACCTTTCTGACAGCTTCCTGTGTGGTGGCTTGATGCTGTTTCCAAGCACAATTTGAAGATTCCCCAAGAGTCACTTTCCAGTTTGCTTTCTTTATCAGACTTTTCAAGATTATCTTTAGCCTCATCTAGCATTTCAGAAAAAAACAAAGAGGTGTCCTTTGGAGTTTATTGCTACCTTGATGCAGAAGCAAGCATCCCACCACATGTCCTGCCCTTTCTATTCCATCAGATGTCTGTGACATTTAAATACGTGACTTTGGAGCTTGTCCCTCTCCATAACCTATTGTTTAATTAGCACCACAGGGAATATAGCAGAAAAACTTAATACGGGGATCTGAAGTTGAGGACATGAAGCAGGGAGGATGAAGTGACTGTCTGGCATGACTGCCACACCGCAATGGAGAAGTTTAGTAGAAAGAGTGAAAAAGAAAGCCTCTGAAGCATTAATCAAAACATTGGGGGGGGGGGGGGGGGGAGGGAAGTAGGCAACTCTGGGTTTCAAAACAAGGATAGGAAATGAGTAGAATTCAAATTGGGTTCAAATTGGGTGGAACTGGGGAGCAGAGGTCCTGGCAATACTGTCCAGACAGATAGTCACACAGTATTTGCCTGTGTAGAGACATTTTTATGGCTACTGCTCACTTGAAAGAAATGAAGGTGTTGCTGTCCAGTCATCAATTACCAGGAGAGAAATTTCCCTGTATCTGGGGCTGAGCTCAGCAGGAGTATGTTTTAAACCACAACACCCTAATGAGAGCCCTGAAGATTTCAGAGCTGCGATGGAAAACGAGAAGTGTTTGACAAATAGGGTCTGTTTCACCTCTCAAAGCAAGTTTTATTTCAGCATCCCCACACTGCTTGCAGTGGAGCTGCTCCCGATTTGCATTTGCCCAGACTTTCTCGCTTTCGGAAGCTGCCTGAGGACCCGCGGGCAGGACAGCTGCTGCACACCCACCTTGAAGGAGCTGCTCCTGCAGCCGCTCCCGGTGTGGTAGAGATTTTAAACGTGCTTAACTTTAAGCAGAGTTGTTCAGGTGACCTCAGTGTCACTTGTTGGACCAAGACCCAGGCGTGGGAAGGAGGAGGAGGAGGCTGGGGGAAGGGGGGGGGGGGGGGGGAGGGGATGGGAGGGTGCAGGGGAGGGGGGCGAACACCTAAACACAAAACCAACAAAAATATTAATTATTTTTTCCACAGTGGAATAATTTCCTCTGGGAGAAGCACCGCTGCTTGTGCCAACTGCTGCAGGAGCGCGCAGCACATCGGGATGTGCTCTGCAGGGCATGCTCCTGCCCCAGACAAACAGCGATTTGCCATCTCTTATTTCCTTATACGATCTTTTCCAGGCTGTAGCAGTATTCAAAATTAGCAGAGGCAGAAGCAATAGGTGGAGAAATTCCTTCCAGGATTCTGCTGTCCTCAGCTTAAAAAGACACTGACTGGGTAATGAAAAGGCTGGAGGGAGAAGGGCAGCTGGGTCAAGAGTAGGGGAGAGCTTACACAGAAATAGGCGTGTGGCGCTTCGCTGCACTGACTCATCACGGGCTCCGGGGCTTCGGCACCGGAGTAATACGGTAGAGCTGGGTCTCTGAATAAAACGATGGAAAAGAGGACTCCAGCCCCAAATCTGCCTCCTGTTGCGTCCTTCTCACGGCTGCTCTCACCGGGAGAGGGAGGAATCCTCAAAAAAAAAAAACAAAACAAAAAAACCAAATAAAAAATGCCACGCAAGGCTGGCATTTGACATGTTACCTTGCACTTTTTGGTCATCATTTGCGGGCAAAGCGCAGCCACCTTCCACTGTGTCACGCAGCATTTCGTAGTCTGCTTTCCCCCAGACCCTCCCGCTAAGAGCAGGGGAATGCTGTCTCAAAAGGTTACAAATTGTACAGACGAAAACGCAGGGGCCAGAGGCTTTCGGGGTCTGGTTCACGCAGGCGAAACTTCGACGGGTGTCCCGGAGAGCCACCTCGGGGCCACCCAGGCGATGATGCTGCCCGGGGCACGGCACCGGGCGTGACCCGCGGGCCCCCGCTCCCCCCGCCGCCGCTGTCCCGGGGCGGCCCTGCTCGGCGGCAGGGCGGGCGCGCAGGCGCGGGGGGCGGAGGTGGCGCTCGGCGGCTCCGTGCGCTGCGCGGCCCCAGTCCGCGCTGCAGCCGCCGCGGGGGCGCCACTACCATGAGCGGCCGCGGCCGCCCCTGCGCGACTCACGGGCACCGGGCGCACCAGCCGCCTCCGCCCCCCCCCCGCTGCCGCCGCGGCCGCCGCTGCCGCCGCCGCCGCTGCCGCGCACTCCCGGCCCCCGATCCCGGCGCTGCAGGATGCCGGGGGGCAAGAGAGGGCTGGTGGCACCGCAGAACACCTTCCTGGAGAACATCGTCCGGCGCTCAAGCGGTGAGAAATTCCCGCCGTCCATCCATCCATCCATCCATCCATCCATCCATCCATCCATCCATCCATCCATCCATCCATCCATCCCTCCGTCCGTCCATCCATCCCTCAGTCCTCGCGGCGGCTCTCCTCGGGGCACGGAGCCGCCGCGCCCGCTGCCCCGCTGCGGTCTGTGCCAAAGCTTTGCCTTCAAGGAACGGGGTCTTTACTGTGCCCCGCCAGGCTCCGCTGGAGCCAGCCCTTCACCAGCCTGTCCCTGTGCCCCTCCGTTTCTTTTTACCTCGTTATCGGTACTGCTGCTTCTGAGAATAAGTGGTCATCATTTACATTTCTAATACTCTCTCTGCTTATCGTGTCTTTTCCTTTTTTTTTTTTTTTTTCATTCTTCATAGAATTATAGAATGGTTTGGCTTGGAAGAGACCTTAAAGATTGTTTAGTTCCAGCCCTATTGCAATGGGAAGGGACATCTTCCACTAGATCAGGTTGCTCAAAGCACTATTCAACCTGGCCTTGAAAACACTGCCAGAGATGGGGCATCCATAACTTGTCTTGTTCGTTGTGCTCTTCTTGTTCTTTAGCTCTCTAGTAATTGGGCTTGCAACTGTTTTCATTCAGTGTTTCAGAGTCTTTGTAATTCTGTGGCACTTAAGTCTGTGGTAAAGGTGCTGGGAAGGAGGATGAGGGAGTGACTGTGATTGGGATGATGGTGGTCCTGGAGCTGAGCAGTATGTAAAGAAGTGCCTGCTCTTGCTCATCTACAGCTCCTTGTTAGGTGGATATTTACAGGACTGGTTCAGGACTGCATGGCTGTCAAATTATTCCTTGCTGTTGGAGTTAATTTTATCCTTTGATCCAGTGCAAAGCACCGATCAAGAGTACTGTGTACAGCTCCATTAAAGTTACAGTGTGGCTGCAGACTCCCGTCTCTAGATGTATTAATGTAGACGCTGCTCTAGGCAAGTCTTGTGCTAGTTACATTCCTTTATTTATGTCATTTTTGTACTGGCACCTACCTACTGCAACACGATTGTTTGCACAAATGAAGTGCGGTAAGAAACCTTGACTTTGCATATGCTAAAAGATATCTTGTTGGACAGCTCAAGTTTAGGGTGACCCTGCCATACCAAACACTGCTGTGCAGGCTTGCATCTGGGGACATGAATGGGAAAGGTGGGCAGAGCAGAGTATTGAGCAAAGTTGCCACATGTATTGTTAATCAAGACATTAATGTGATGTGAAACCGTGCTGAGAAGTGTTCCCTTCCACCTTCCTGTTCCATGACTCTGGATTTACCTTGCATTCATGGTCTGGACCTAACATGGTCTGGCGGGTTGATTAGATGGCAGGTGGTGAATTAGTGATTCATTGACTTCCATGGGAGCAGGAGTGGGATAAGGACTTAGAATTTGTTTTAAAATATTTTATGTTAAAATGGTAGCCTTATATTAAGCCATCAACTGTTTTTTTTTGGGGGGGGGGGCTTCATCCCTTTGGTGTTGCCTCTGTCGGTTGTGTGGTGGGTAGCTGACTCCCCATCAAGCTCTGTAGCTGCACGATTACCAAGAGCTAGTTTCCCGCAATAGTGTATTTATTTAGCAGAATATTAAATGCAAGCTTAATTAATAGGGGTTTATACAGCACTTTCCCTCTGATAATTTCAAAGTGCTTGTGGATTTTAATTACACTTCACAGCTCCGTGTGGAAGAGGACACAGAGGCATTCCTAACCTGTTCTTTGAAATCTGGCACAAACAGGGGCTCAGAGCATCACAATTGTTTTCCCAAGGTCATGGGGCGAGTCCATGGCAGAGCTGGGAACATGGCTTGGGATTGCTATGCTTTTGTATCATGCTTTAATTAAATCACGTTGTCCCTGGTGAAAGCTCAGTAAAGCTTTGAGATGTCAAAAACTGTAAAAGCTCAGAAGGCTTTTGAACATTATACTTTAAAAGCGTGTATTCCCCTCCAGATTTAACCTGGTCTAATTTAGGAGCATTAAATCGTGCTGATCTGGTCATTCATTCTGCTTTTTCTCTGCCACTGATGATGCCTATACATGATGCTACAGAGGTAAATCTGCCCCGTTGGACAAGGTGAAAAGTGGATTGGGAATTTAACTCATTTAAGTGGTCAGTACTGTGCCCTGAAACATGATTTAATTCTTATTTTTGTCATCCAGGAAGTAACCTTATTTGTCCTTTGTAGAAATAGTAATTTTCATTGGATTCAGTGATGTTTAATCCAAACTTAATGGCATCCAGTAGAGCAAATCTGATTCCAGTGTCTCCTGCCAGTGCTTGGTAGAAGGCAAGGATTTGATCTGCTGACTCTGTGCAGGCTTTTGTTTTTATACTTGGATTCACCAGTTTCCGAGAGATTTTTCATTGACAAGTTGAGAAATGGGATGAAGGAAAGACTGGTGATTGTTTGTTAAAATACATTTTCAGCATCCTCAAAAAGAGCTCTTTTATCACCTTTACTGGTTAAAGGACATGTTCTTTTGAGATTTCTCACAATTACGCAATTCCGTTTCATTCTTGACAATAAATCTTTTCTTAACAATGACGAGAAGGTTAGTAGGTAGAGGTAATATCTTCTATTAGGCAACAGGTACAGCTGGAAAAATTAGGTATTTCAGCAGATAGGCTCTTCTTTAAGAGCATGGAATCAATGGTTTCAAAATGAAATGTAGCTGGAGTCTAATTAATCAAAGTTGCCAGAGGTGGTTTTAAATAACAAAATTTATAGACAAAATTGCAATAATTTTAAAATATGGAGAGTTAGAACTGGCATAGTGGGAACACGGTGTGCAGAGTGGTGGTCACCTTGGTGTTTAAAGCAGTCATATAGTCAATTTTCAGCATTATTTACTTATTTTCTGTTTAGTTTTATGAACCTTTCCTTTTTGCCCTAGCTTTGGCTGCAAATGAGGTTAAAATTGTGGGAGGAACTATCATGGCAAGTCAGTTATAAGCAAAGCGTCAAAGATCTGAGCAGAAAGAATGGGGTGGCAATGGCTCCTCTGTCCTCTGTATGTAGAGGTGGGATTTCTGGGCTACCCTGCCGAGCTGTCCCACTCCCAGCCAATGTGTTTGGGAAGGATGGAGCCACTGCCAAAGCTATGGGATGGGTCAGGGAGAAGTCCCACAGTGTCCCTTTGCCCAGGGAACCTCTCTTTTGGAGGCAAATTAACACCTTGAAGCTTATGAAGTGTTTTAGGGCAGGAGTGTGCTTTGTCTTTTGGGAAGCAGCAGAGTGCAGGTGTTTCCCAAAGCCTTTGGTGGGGGACAGTAACCTCTGAGCTGCTTAGTGGGTTCTTTGCCCACACCTCAGCTGAGCTCCACTTGAGCAGAGACAAAGTCTGTGGGAGAAGCAGGGGAATCTGTTGTTAGACCAACTGCTGCAGCTGGTAAAAAGGGCCAAGTGCTCAGGATACACATTCCTATCTTCTGGCTAATCTCAGTGTACTGTCCAATCTTTCTTCTTCTTTTAAAGCACAGTGAAAATACATCCAGTAAAGGTCTTATCTGATGCTCACAAAGATTGATACAATCTTACTACAGTCTTGAATGTGCCCTGGATCTTAGGAACACCAGGTCTTTTGCTGATCTGAAAAAAGTGTTTTGTGCGAGCACTGGGTTAAATCACATTAAGGTGATTGCCTTTTACTGCCATTAGTATTTTGGACATTTAATAAGGGCCTTCCCTAGGGCAGTGTTCTCTCCTAAAATGTTCTCAGCAGTCTGTGCCTGTTATTGTTAATATTATTGGTTGATTCTTTAGTGCATTCAGAGCTTGCTGATACTGACCTCGGCTCAGCATCGTGGAGGTGTCACAGGTACAGAACTGGGCAAGTCCAGAGCAGGGCTGGGCTTTGTGGACCTGGCAAGCATGTAGAGGAATGCAGTGAGTTGAGCCTTGCACACAGGGGCAAGGGAATGTGTTTGTCTTGCTTGTCCATCTTCACCCTTCACATATTCTAGCAACAAAAGCATTAAGCCTATGTTAATGGTATAATTTGCTTTTATGATAGAGAGTGAGTTTGGGAAAGATTAATTCTGGGGCTTTGCGGCAATTTGCAATAGAGTGCTAACAGCCTGGAAGAGGGACTTAATTTAATGGAAGATTATATATAAGCTTACCTATATGGTAAGAGTCATAATTATTGGTTATTGTTTCTGTTGCAATAACTCTTAGAAGCTTCCTCAGGAAAATGTGTCTTTCAGGTCCTTCACGAACGTATTTTGATTCTTGGGCTGAAATCTTGGTTCTGCAAGGCTTACATGGGAATTTTACCATGAGCTTTAATGAAGCTAGCATTTAATTCCTGGCCTTTTTTAGCTTTGTGCCATGTTTCTACAAAGCAGTTCCTTCAGACAGAGCTTTACACTCTGCTGGGTCCCTGTGACTTTGAAGGACTAAAGGATCAGCCCTCGGTACCAGTGACGGGGTTGTAAAGGGAGGTTAGCCAGGAAAGGGGAGGGAAATGAGAGTCACATCTGTAGTGCTAAGACACTTTTTCATTTTTATTATACTAGTATGATAGATAAAATAAGTGTCTATTGTCTCTCCTGTCCTTCTTACTAGCCCATGTATTGTACCTGATGTCTTACAGGCAGGGTGACAAAATGTTGTTGTTATGGGACATGATACGTGTAGGCTTTGCTCCCCTAAATTAAAACAAAGCTGCACTTTCATCTGATCCAAGTGAAGTTACAAACGCTGCAGAGAGAGTTCTTTAAGGCAAGTTGCTTCAAATTTACACGATGTCTGTCACTCTGGATCTTCTGAAAAAATGCGGACCTCGGCAGTTCCCTAAATCTCTACAGAAGGACACTATAAACTGTGGGGTGAAAGTTTCCATCCTCTGGCTCAGCTGACTGCAGAGAGCTTACTGAAGGGATGTCCAAGAAGCTTATGTCATTAGGGCTTTCTTTGCATTTGAAGGCACAGGGTTCCTTTTGCAGTTTCTAGGACTGCAGGGTGCCTGCTGATACATAAAT